CGAGTATTTTGTTAAGTATTTCCTCCGGACTAGTAAGGCAGAGCAGAAACAAGGACAGGATGTGAGCATCACAGAAAAGGAGCATGAAAGGATAGCTGTTCTTCCGTACAAACACCGGATATCTCACAGGCTCAAGAAAATTAGAAATAGTGGGGGCGTTCGTATGCTGTGTCCTGCACCTTATCAATAATTTAGTCTCACTAAAACCACAAACCACCTGAAGACGCAGCCATCTACTGGTTGTAAAGGTAAACAAAGGACCAGGACTGTGCAATATTCCCGAGAAGATGTCTACAGGGTCGCTCTTTTTGTGGTGCATGTTATGTCGGACAGACCGGATGTTGTCTTTACGATCATCTGAGGGATCATGCTAACAATGTGAGAAACGAGAAAGGTGGCCCCGTCGCGGTGGTCTAGTGGCTAAGGTACTCGGCTGCTGACCCGCAGGTCACGGGTTCGAATGCCGGCTGCGGCGGTTGTATTTCCGATGGAGGCGGAAATGTTTTAGGCCCATGTGCTCAGATTTGGGAGCCTGTTAAAGAACCCCAGGTGGTCGAAATTTTCGGAGCCCTCTACTATGGCGTCTCTCATATTCTAATGATGACTTTGGTACGATAAACCCCCCATATCAATCAAATGGGAAAGACGGGTTTCTTGCGTAGCACTGCGTGAAACTGCGCATCTCTTTTATAGGGCGTTGTACAAGCACGCCTATTGTCGCACCCGATTCATCGTCGTGTCTGCGCGAATGACACGCGAATAGGGCGCATGCGTTAACATGCCTACTTTCTTGCTATCTGAGGAGGAAATAAGATTTCTATAAAGTAACAACGCAATCAACTTGTCTTATTTTTTAGTCTTCAGTACGGTTTTCTTAGACTTCGTTCTTAGGTTTTTGTTTTCTGGCCTTTTTGTTCGCCTAACTCATCTTTGCATTGTTCATCTTTCTTGGCATGGTTCCTTTGTCTCCTATATAGGTTTACGCGTTCTGCACAATGAACGTTGGTGGAAGTTAGCGCTCGTCTTCTTGTACTTTGTCTTCGTTCTGAGCTCGCGCTATAACCATCGTCAAGACTTACTAACTCGCCCGAACAGCCAAGCTTTTTATCACTGTTCTTGTGTATTTCTGAGGCGAAAAATATTCATCAAAGTTAGGCATTCATGGATGCAAAAAGAAGGTGAGGTTAGAGAGTGTCACCCTCAATTCAAGTAAACTTGGCAATGGGTTCGGTATGCTGCAAACAGGCCCATTCCCTTAGTGTTTTTTTTTCTAGTTAACCTGGTACCCATAACCCAAGCCCAATGAAGCCAGTGATATCAGCTTCTCCTCACGCGTGCAAACAAAAACACTTTATGTCTTACAAGCTCAAACAAACAACGGCAATGAAACGACGGCATTGGCCTTACACCTCGGCTGTATAAGTTGCCAAAATTTTTGTCCGCGTATTCTTACAGACTGAGGGTCTTTCACATAACAACCGGAGAAGCACTATTGTAGAAGCAGCAAGGAAAAAATATAGACACCGAATAAGTGTCATTACCACGTGAACCCCGTCAAATATGGTTCACCGTGGCTAAACAATCTAGAGGTTATAATCGCGCGTTCTGAAAAAGTTCCATAACCCACGTAGTCTTCGTACTGTTCCATCTATTCTGTGAATGCAGCTGCTGCCCCCTGCAGGACGACGTTAGGAGGAGTTGTCGTGATAAAACAAGCTGCACATTACGCTCAGAGAAGAAACTTGGGACGCTGCGTTATTTCGCAGAAGGAAATTTTCCATGAGTACTAAACTCTCAAAATGAAGTCGAAATGAGTGAAATCAAAATACGCACAGAGTGTAAAGAAAGCGAACTGGAAAAGAACATGAAAAAGGCCAAGCCCGACATTTCTTGGAGGAAGTTGGGTTTAAAGCTTCCAGCAACCCTCTCCCCAATTTTTAGCGCAAACACACACATCTAGGTTACGCCGATGCTTCTTACACTTGCTAGCACAGTGTAAAAACTCAGGCTTTAGGAAAACCGTAATACCATTGGCAGTGAATCGAGAGGTAGTTTATTATGTCTATGGCATAGTCAGCATTACATATTTGTGGAACGTTGGTAACATGAAACAGAAGAAAATGAAGGACCACTGACAAGAATGATATTTTGAATGCTCCCACGGAAGAACTATTGAAGTTAACTTCTTAAATTTGATATTTACTATCATCTTTTCTTCAACAGCTTCAGAGAGCTGCGGAAGTCTGTTAATATTTTTAAGGGGCCAATGAGCTGAGTACAGTACTATTAACCATTACCAGACATACGGAGTTCATAAAAGTTTATTCACACAATAAACTCCGATACATAGGCCTACTTGAACATTAATTTGTGCAGTTCGGTGCGGAGATGTTACCTTGTGAATAAGTTCTGCGAGATTTCTAGAAACGAAGCTCGGTGGTGGCCCTGCAATCCCGAGATCCCAGAAGAGTGACAGGTGCCTCTTGCGTTGTCTCAAAACACAGTCGAAACGCATTCATTGCTTATAAGAGTGATGAAAAATACTGCATGCGTTTCTGCCCATTCGTTGTAACAGCGTTTGCTAGTAAGTGTATATGCCGCCTGATTTTAAACTCACGGCGATGGTCCAGCGATTATGGAGCTCGACTACTGAGACAAGGTCACGGGATTGAATCACAGCCACGGGGGAGAGATGCGTTGCGCTCGAAGACCAATGCGAGAGGTTCTCGTTTTTGAATTTAGGCATACATTCAAAAGGCTCAGATGGTATAACTTTCTGGAACCCACTACTACAGCGCCTATCGCAAATCATGGTGGTGGTAGCAACTTTAATAATAACTTCGGCGAATTTGTGGACTGGGCCTAGGCCTTCCCCGAGGAGGACAAGAGACCCTGTCTCCTCACCGCCTCACGTGCTTGCTGGATGGCCCACAGTTGGTCTTGAAGGTTGGAGCTACGCAGCACAGCCACTCACCGCGCCGCAGCCTCACCCGAGGAGACGGCATTTACTTTTGCCAATACTGCACATTTCTATATAATGTGCCTAAGTGATGCGTGAGTCCAGGGCACGATTTGCAAGTATCATCTGACTAGACATCCGGTTATATCCTCTTAAAATGAATGGGGTTGTGGAAGGTCTGAGTTTTCAATTGTCTCCAAACTACCGCTTCGAATCTGTCAAGTTCGGGACTTGGTGGTGGATAAATACGCCTAGACTTTTTTAAAAGTTCGTAATTTCACAGTATGGGATCATTCTATTCTTCTCTGTCCAGCCTCCACAGGATGCACATCTTCTGAAGAGGACCTTTCTACGAGTGCGTGGAAGGCAAGACCTCGCGCTACGCGATGTACCTCTCAGTCAAGGCTGGGCACGGGGATGTGTTGGGACGTGTGACCCGGGAACAGTATAATATGTCGTTCTTCTGTCATTTCGGAGGTTATATACTTAGCGTTGGCTTGAAGGATAGCCGCGGCCTCTGGCGAAATTCTTCCTTGTGCATAATTTTTTATCTCTGTCTGTGAATCACTTAGTATGTGTTTAGTAATCACTTAGTAGGCCTACTCGGAAGAGCATCAGGCAAGAAGCAGGCCAGGCGCCGCCGTCTGAGTTTAAGTAATTGTTAGCATGCTTGTGTGTTGAGAATACTACGGGGACGCGATCACTGGGCTGACCACGAGTGCCACACGGAGACGAGAATATCCTCCCCCGCTGTATGTAATTACGGAGTGTTGTTAAAATGGGGAGAGGTTTCGCTGTTGCATGCACACCTGGTCAGCCCACAGGGCCGGACGATGTAATCTCCGAGCTTACGGAGGCTGTAACGAAGCCACGTTAATGAGAAAGCTGTTGGAGCCCGAGCGTGAAGACGGCCACCCACAGAGGTCGGCTGATACACGACCTGGCATGGAAAAAAGTGTGACACGGGGAGAACCTATCCCCTCTCGTGTTTTATTTTGTAATGGGTTTTTTACCAATGCAGTGCTTGTTGTGAAAGTGTTTTTGCGATCGGCTGTGGCGATGCGAGCCAACACGTGTGATCGGCTTGTGGGGAGACCCTTTGTTCAATTGAGGGTCGAAAAGAGGATGTTTAATTCTGGTATAGAGAGGGAGGTTCGGGCAGACGCCTGGTGCTGCAATAAAGCGTGTCTTCACCGGGCTACGGCTCTTGCTTCGGGCTGCCGCCGTGCACTCGAATCATCGAGGGTACCCATTCCGAACCTGAAACATCTTCCCTCCTTAGATAGTGTAGAAGCTAGTTGAAGCGGAGGAAATCAACTCCTATATTCATGTTCTGCACAGTATATTTTATTTTTTTGTTTTCATTATTTTTTATTGTTTCGTAAAATTGGTAACAATTGTTGATGTCATTCTGAATGTTGTTTTCATCCTGAACCTAAGCGCGTCTTATGCCACCTCCGGCAACTGCTGCCACCACAAAGAACGGGGACCAATGAGCTCCTCGAGCAGCCCAGAACAGCTTTTTTCTTGGCCCCTGGCATTGTACGAGAAGTTTCGCAATAGAAATAAATATATGAATCAAGAACAAAATAAATAAAAGAAGGAAGAAAGAAATGCATAGCAGGTATGGTGAAGTAGATGACCTCGATATGCACACGGTTAGGAATGCGATTCGTGCAACTGCTATTGTTTTCAACGTACTTTTTTCATCATGCGGATTTCCTCGAGATCTGGTGACAGCTGAATTCATTATTGTTTTTGAAGGTAGTTACATCATTACCATGTCCAATTACAGAATCACTTTCATTCTGTCTGTATTTTTATAATAATTGAAACGTTAATACATAAATGCTGATATTTTACGCTAGTCTCAAACTCTGCTGCTCCGCAAAACCCAACAGCAGCCTTCCAAACGCAGCTTATCTGGTCGCAAGCTATCAAGCTCTCTAATCTGGTATTGCTGCTTCTTGGTATGTCACATACGTTTCTTGTGAAAAGAACACCCACAGCCATCTTGATATACACGTGCGTGGACTCGCAGCTTCCCCATACCAGCAGTGAGAGGCAACCGGTCTGTAGAGTGGCTCTATACGGCTCTGGCTTCGCAGTGGTCCCAATGGCTGCCTTCATCAGCCACCTTGACTATGAAAAGGTGAGCTATGCACAAAGAAATTTGTCAGCATCTTCAACACCTGAAGTGAAAGTTTAGTAAAGTGGCAAGTTATAAAAAAAATTGGTTCCGTATCCGCACATTTCCCTAAAAATGTTGTCGAAAGACGACAGTCTTGCGTCTGGAGAGTGCGAAAAATGCTAATTTGATGTTCTGCGTGAGAATGTCAGTGAGTCAATGGTAAATGGAGGCTCTGCGTTAAACTGCCTCGATGCGCACAGCAGAGGGGAACGAGCACATTGAGGCACTCTAGGCTGCATGAAACATGAGCGCTGACTAGCAGTCATCTTGGAAAATGATAGTATTGCCTCTGATATAGCAAGTGCGTGATGTGCGCGCCTATTTCAGAGGCGATAATGCCTAGAATGCAAGGTGACGGGTACGTGCTACCATCTTCACCATCTTAGCAAAACGTACGAAACTATGGTACTTACAATTACTTCTGTGTGCCTTCTATAATATACCAAAACACACTACAGGATGTTTTCATGTACTATTGTGTCTCAGATATGCGCAACATTTGCTTATTTTGACAATCGCACAAGTATGAATGCCGAAAATTGAGCAATATTAGTGGGCGCTGCAGATGTGGTTACATTTTAGCTGTTTCTTGTGTCGTTTAGGAATACAAACGGGCAAGTCAAACGACAGACGAACAGGCGATAATTTTTGCGTCATAGTATTCCAAGAAAAACTATCAGCTTTAATATTTACGACGACACACCTCGCAACACACAACAATACGCAGCGTCGTACTGAGTTGATTACATCGCTGCTGCTTACCTGCAGCTTTCTCCACCTCACGTGGTGTTACGGAAACTCGAAGATCAGCGCCATGAGATGATTAGTGACTCCTTTCCTTATTATAGCCAACCTATGAGGATGAATTTCTCCGATAAATTTTGTTCATTCGAAGGTATGTTTCATGAACCCTCTTATTATTGCGCTCAATTTTGTGAGCTTATTTCTCACTAAGTTTTGGCGTCATCAATATAAGCAGAACACTTTTGATATGACAAGTTAATGCACAAGAAGCGACGAATACTTTTGATGTTGTCCTCTGCACTTCGAAGGTAAATTTCATGAAATTATCTTATGAATCGAATAGCCACCCCATAACATTCAAACCAGCTAAAATTTGAGATGAATAAAAATCTACTTTCGATGTGCATGTGTGTCCAAAGAGAGTTGAGCTTCCTTTATTTAAGTGTCACTTTTTTGTGTGTCTTATTAACACACAGAGGTGCCTTCTACGCCATTACGCCATTTCTTGGACTGAAGATAATTTCTCTCAATATGAACTACTGCAACAATCTGAACTGGTAAGTGCATTTACTCATTACCAATGCTTTGTATAAGGCAATATACTTTTGCGAAACGACAGTTTTGATTTGGTTTAGAAAGTTACTCAACTTTTCTTTCTGAGATCCTTGTTAAACACATGTAGTCTTGATGGAAGGATGGTTTATAGTTCTGTTTCATAACCTTTGCAGCCTTAACTATTATGATATGGGTACTTCAGCTACCGCAAACTACGGTATTATGGCTACTTCAGCAAGGAATATCATGAAGATTTTTACACAGTTTCTAAATACTTAAGAAAAGTAGATGAACATTATTCATATATCACCAATTCTGTCCTAAAAATGTGGCAGTAGCAGCTTCTCCGAAAGTAGCAATCATTTTTTTTCTGGTAGGGCACAAGAGATGGCTTTCAGGAAGTTGGTGATCAAAAGTGAAATGTAGTCGTAGCAAGCTAGGCACTTTGCTGATCCGTGGAGGCATCATGCTTCTTGGTTTCGAGGATAATTCACGAGCATGGATGAAGTTGCTCAAGTGTGCTTTAGCTTAGAAACTACTACTGTTGCAGTAGGTTGAGTCGGCAAGGCAAGTGAAGGTAGGGGGGGGGGGGGAAGGGTCTGACCAATTTTATTTCAGGTTGGAGTCTACGGGCTTGAAAATTGCAGATATTGTATATGTGGTGCAAGTATCAGATTGTACTTCGTCATTCTGCATCAAACTTTCGTCAACACGCCGCTTGTTTCCAGTCTGGAACTAAACCAACTTTTTGCTTGCATCAAGGCACCTTTCTTAGGTGGTCAAATCCTCTTCATGGTTTTGATACCACAATTACTTGGGGCCGCGAAAGAGCTAGTCTATGTTGGTACGCGCACCAGTCGTCTCTACTCTGCCAAGAGCCGGAATTCGGCACCACGCCTACAAAGTTTTGCTGGGCAAAGACGGATAAAAGCCATTCATATGGCTATAAAGAATGAATGACATACGAACGACGAAAAATTACTGCGTACTGACGAAGTGATTGAATGATAAGGCGACGAAGCACGGGGAGATCCGGCGTTGCTCTTCGTTTAACCATTCATATACGTTCTTCTACGTGGTTAAATGCGGTTAAGTGATCAGGCTTGGGTATGTAGCAGTGGCTGTACGCAACGCAGCACTCATTGCCAGTACTTCGCCTGCGACCAAGTAATCTTTACAAGAAGAGCAAACCATAATCTCCCTAGGAGCTTCAACATTGGTGGGAAACTTCCGCTTGAAACTGTGCGCCAGTGCCAAAAGCACCTGCGGCGGCACGTCAACTGCACGAGGTTTATCGGATTGGCGGCGGCATAAACTGGAGGGGGGAAAATTCATGACTATTTTAACAGAGAAAGAGAAATGTGTCCCTGTTTTTCTTTCGCCCCGCCGCGGGGGTCTAGTGGCTAAGGTACTCCGCTGCTGACCCGCAGGTCGCGGGTTCAAATCCCGGCTGCGGCCGCTGCATTTCTGATGGAGGCGGAAATGCTGTAGGCCCGTGTGCTGAGATTTGGGTTCACGTTAAAGAACCCTAGGTGGTCGAAATTTCCGGAGCCCTCCACTACGGCGTCTCTCATAATCATATGGTGGTTTTGGGACGTTAAACCCCACATATCGATCATCAATCTGTTTTTCTTGGCAAAAAAATTGTTTCCTCATAAAGGTGAAGCCGTGAACGCAATAGCAACATGTCGGGATGTTTTAACGAACAAAGGCCAGCCACTCACTCTACTCTGGTCTCGCGAAGCCGCAAAACGCTGGCGTGTGGGAATATGGCGCTACCGGGAAAGAAGCGGCATACCTGCAGTTTTTCGTATCAGTGGTCGCAGCACACAGCGGTGAGATTGTAGCGCTTAGAAGGGCATACATGAGCCATTTCCTGGTGTCCAACGTATTGTGCGCGCCAGCACGCATGGCCACGCCCTTACAATCAAACTTAGAGTATTGGCTTGAGTTATTCAGCCCCTTCTACCACGGCGTTCCTTCATACTCCTTCGTCGTGTGAAATATGGAGTTAATATAAGGTAGACAGAGTGGGCGTGTTTTTGTGGCGGAAGGTATGCGCGGGTGCTACGAAGCGCAGAGCCAGTTGCCGTGTTCGTGGAGGTGGACGCGGAAGACTTGCGCACGGCAAAGGAAGGTTACTCAGTCGTTCACACAGTCAACGAGAGTGTGTGACGACACACGTTTTTCAGAAAACCTATCTCGTTGCGTGTTGTATTTTTTAACCTGCGTTTTACCGATACAATGTCTGTTATGAAAGTGTTTCTGCAACTGGTTGTGGTGATTACAAGCCCCCATGTGTGATTGGTTTGTGTGGAGACTCTTTGTTGGACTTAGGGTTGAAAGGGGGCGTCTGGATGTGAAAAGAGAGTGGGGTTTGGGCTTGGATCACCTGAGTTCTACAATAAAGCGTGTCTTTATTTCTTCGTGCTGCCACCAAACACTTCAGTCATCGAGGGACCTCGTTTTCAAATCTTTAGTTGTGATAATAAAAATTTTTAGTAGCAAAAATCAAATAATTCAGCGCCCATTACATTGCTTTCGTTATCACCATCACTACAAATTTTACAAGCAATATCTCCTCGACACTTATATGTACATAAAACACATGTTTAATGTTAACGCTGAGCATTGAGCATATCAGAATATAGAGCCTGTTGACTGTACTTTGTTTTTCCGATTGTGGAATGGGAAACTCGCAAAATTAATTCACATTTGTTCATAGCGCCCGGTAATCATGCGAGGTGAACAAGAACGGGTGGGCGAATGCTGGACATATCCAGTTTGGAGACAATTGACAACTGCTATCTCTCGTGCATGGACCAATAGACAGTATTTGCTCAGACCTTGTCGCGTGAGTAACCGTTCTGGCGGTTTGAGAGGTGTCAAAAAAGAAATGAAAACACAAAAACACAATAACTTGCTGTTTCATATTTTCATTAGCTTTTGTGAAGCCCTCGCGGCCCCGCCGCGGTGGTCTAGTAGCTAAGGAACTCGACTGCTGACCCGCAGGTCACAGGATCAAATCCCGGGTGCGGCGGCTGCATTTCCACTGGAGGCGGAAATGTTGTAAGCCCCTGCGCTCAGATTTCCATGCACGTTAAAGAACCCCAGTTGGTCGAAATTTTCGAAGCCCTCCACTACGGCGTCTCTCATAATCACAAGGTGGTTTTGGGACGTTAAACTCCACATATCAATCAACCAGTAAAACTCTCGCAAAGACTTGGCGCGCAAACACTGATACAAGACAGCAGTAAAGACACCGCAAATGCCGATCACCAGGAAAAATCGCACCATGCATTTAGGACTAAAAAGAACCGTGTATAGATGCGCAGTAGCGGGTGCTATTGGCCGTGACAGCTAGCAGAGTCGCTGCCTTATGGTAACTGACCGACACGGTGAAGTGTGGATTGCTCCTTGCGTCGTCTGCTAGCCTCGTCGTGTTTTTATGTGCGCGTACTTCAAGTGTGGTATGTCCGGTAATGTCAGTGCCAGTGTAACTGTTCCTACGTATGCCTTAAACGACGTACAAAAGCGTTTGCTCGGCTTCTAAGGCATTGCAATAAGACTGGTGACTCAAACTTTCCAGAATGCTGTTTATCGTCGTAGTACCCTTCATTCACCAGAATAATTTTAGAGTGGGTGCCGCTTTCTGTTTCAAGCACATCGCAAAATGCCCTTCGTATTCTTCTAAACATGAAGACTGTGTGAATGCAGCTTTATATAGCGACTCGGTTCTAAAAAAATGAAAAAAAACAGGCTATAGGTTATCCACTTGCGCATTGTTGGTGGTTGTACAACAACGACAGTGTCGTTAATCGATCATACGAGGAGCCGAAGTTGCGTTCATTAGGCCGTTGTACCACTACATGAAAATGTTACAATCATATAAATTATGAGACTTCGGTGCTTACAGTGCACTTAAAGCAGAGTGGCCGTGTAGTTGATTGATATCTGGGGTTTAACGTCCCAAAACCACCATATAATTATGAGAGACGCCGTAGTGCAGGGCTCCGGAAATTTTGACCACCTCGGGTTCTTTAACGTGCACCCAAATCTGAGCACATGGTCCTACAACATTTCCGCCTTCATCAGAAATGCAGCCGCCGCAGCCGGGATTCGATCCCGCGACCTGCGGGTCAGCAGCCGAGCACCTCAGCCATTAGACCACCGCGGCGGGGCTTGCCGTGTGGTTAGATTAAGGAAAGCTTTAAAGTGCCCAAACGTTGAAAATAATTCACACGACATACCTTTTATATTTAATGTCTTGTGATATAACTGAAAGGTTAATTTCATTTTTTTCTGCATTGTTTTTGGCTTTTGTGTGGCATTGGTGGTGACCAACGGAAGGCAGAGGATGTTTTTCTGAAAAAAAAAACGTGCTTGTCCCATTAGTCAGGCCTTTGTCGTAGAACAGCCATACACGTAATCTATTGAGAAAACGTTTTGCTGAACTCTTATATAAGACCTTTACTTGTGCAAGAACATTCGCGTACACTTGGTAAACGCATTATAACGCAAAGCGTCGTCAGCCACCAAGCTTTACTGACTAGATCTATCGACTGTTCCACAATTCGTGGTGAACAGATTTAGAGAAAAAATTATATGCGTGTAAAGTGCCAACATTGGTACTGAACTAATCGCAACAATATGCGGCCTTTCTAAAACGTTTCTTTCTTTTTTTTGTAGTAAGCAGACGACAATGATGTAAAAAATTGGCTCCGTATATTCATGTTACACTGTAAATTTCATGTTACACAATTTCATGTTATATTCATGTTACACTGTAAATTTCTACTTTATTACGACAAGTTACGCATAGACAAGCACGCGTACACAAAAACGGTTCACCTACGATCAACTCGTTCCGAGCATCCAAAAAAACTGAAGCAATATTCCTGTCAAACAAAAGCCTTCAAAAACACTTTTTTCCGCGCACTGTCACTAATTGGATTGCTCTTTCTGCCGATCTGGTGAACTGCGAAACCATTCAGTCATTCAT